GGAAAAAAGAAAAAAAAAAAAGAAAAAAAAAAAGAAAACAAAACAGAAAAACAAAAACCTAAAACAAAAAGAGAAACCCAAATTCTCTCATCCTACTTTCGTGTGGTTCTATCCTTCACATAGGATTGCTCAAATCCTCTCCCTCACACCTTGGATAACACATTAAAAAAAAAAATTGACTTTATTTTCAGCTTTCTCATCCCAGGCCTGCTGAACTTTTGAATATTGACGCCCTTTGACACCTGTCACATATAAAAATGTTGTGCTCAGTGTAGTTTGGGAGACCTGCAAGAGCGGACATTAATAAACATAAAAGAGGCTTTTCCTCACAGACTTTTTGAGATTTCATTAAATGTATTCAATTATTTAATTTGTATTATTTAATTCTCATCTCAAAGCAGTTGCTGTTAAAATAATTGTATAAGACACCTATTTTCAGGTGTATAATCAAATTAATTAACACCTATTTACATCAGGACTCTTCACTCTCTAAGACTCTTCACTCAGACACCACTTATGGGTTGATTTTGTGATATTATTTGATGAGATTTTATAAAAGATACATAAAAATTGCACAATATTATTTGAAAATTCAGTGAAAATCTCAAACCTGGGCGCAGCGGATTTTTTGAGCACTCAGTTCATCTGCCATCGCTGTGTAATTATCATTCCACCATTTAAAAAAGCGGTTAAATTATTTTAAAAAAATTATGACTTAAGGATGGTTAAATGGCCATATTGTAATTGTGCTCAGAGATAAATACTTGAAAACAATTTTGCCCTTTTTTTTTTTTCCCTGAAAAGCGTAAAGTCAAATTTCCAAACAGATTTTGTGTAAACCCACCCAGTTCTGCAGCAATTCCTGCAATTCCACAGGAAATCATTCCAGGCATCAATGAGACAAAGCTCTGCAATGAAAACACGAGCTCTAGGTCAGACATTAATATCAATATTTACTCCAAATTCCTTTTTCATTATGCTGGGATTTGTGTTTTCACCTGAGGCAGGAAAGAGCCCTTGGAAGTGAAGCAGCGGGAAAATTAGGTTAAAATATCCCATCTAATATTGCAAATGTACTTTTAATTTTCAGTCAGGGCAGGTTTGGGGCACCACTGAAAACATCAGCACTAATCACCAGTTATTTAGCAAATAAAACAGGCACTCTGGGCAAGAAGTGGTTGTGATTTTATAGAGGTATTTTTAAGTGGCAGTTCACTTAAATTGCACCAAGCGAGAATTACCAGATCTTATTGATTGGAAAATGGAAAATTGAAAACCAATTGCTAGACAAATTGCTTTGAGGATTAAATTATGTTTGTTTGGTTGTTTTTTTTAAATTTTACTAGTTTATTAAATAAAAAGTGGGGCTTGCTGGTGTTTTTTTTTTCTAGATCTCAGACAAGTTCAGCAGTTCAGAGTGAAAACAGCCTGGTTCAAACAGTGCCTTAATTTTATTCCAGCAGTTAGGATGGGAAAGCTGCTGAAAAATCTCAATTAGCTCTTCAAATGGTATTTTTCTGCTTCATAAAAATGTCAGTTTTAAGAAATCCTTGCAGAATCATTCAGTCATTACTTTTGATCTTAACAGGCATCAACAGCTTCCAGTTTGTTGTGGGAGAAGGGTCAGGAAAAATTGCAAATTAGGGCAAAAAAGAGGCAAAAAAAGGAGCAGAGATAGATGGATCACAGGGCTCTCCTGGATTTCCTAGGATTTGGGGTTTTTTAATGCTGATTTTCTGTACTGATGATAATGATTTTAGTTGCCATTGTTATCAGCTTGGGTTTTAAATCAAGTCCACAAAAGCTTGGCAAAAATTCAGTGTTTGGGGAAACTCTTTTTCTAGGCAGTGAAATCCCAGTTGAAGGAATTTCAGCTCTCCACGATTTTCCAGGCCGAGGCATTTTCAGGTTTCTGACACCATCACTTCCTTATTTATAGTATAAAAATATTAAATGAGGACCTTTAACTCTGACCTGCCAAACCAAAATGGCAGAACAAACAGATTTTTGCCATCTCTCTCTCTCTCTCTGCACCAAATATTTAATTTCAAAACTAAATCATTCACTGCTCAGAGAACACTCTGGCTTCTCATTCTTGCTCAGAAACACTAAAGATGATGCTGGAAATAACCACAGAAAGCATGGATGGGATGGTACAGTTGGGTGGTTTTTCACTCCCGTTTATTTTGATTAACTGAGCAAAGATAATTTAATCATTTCAGCTTTTGCCTTTCTTTAACCCCATGCTGTTCATACTGTTCTCTTTGTAGTCACTGAACAAGAGACTAAAGTGCCCAAGAAAACCATCATCATGTAAGTGCTGATTTTTAATTTTTTTTTTTAATTTTCATTTTAATTTTTTTATTTTTTTGTAACATTTGTGTTTTGCTTTGCTGCCTCTGCATGATCCAATAACAAGCTTGTGTTCATTGGCCACGCAAGTGTGTTCGTTCCCATCCCGCTGGATCCCACGGAATTCCGAGCTATGTCAAGTCATCACCTTGAGATAAAAAAAAAAAAAAAAACTTTAAATCCATTTCAAAAAAATAGCAGCACTGGTTCAGACACAGCCTGGGGCAGGTATTTGAGGATATTACACGGGAAAAATATTCAGTGTTGAAAACAAGCCAGCTTTGAGAACTGTCTTCCTGCAAATATCTATAAATTTAACAAGGATGTCATAACTCACAGTGGTTTCTTGTGGCTTTCTATTTTTAACTTCTCAGGAAAGCCTTTTATGATGAAGCAGAAGGAAGATGAATGTTTTTATCCCCTTGTATTTCTGATTTAAATTTGTGTCCTGATAATGTCATGGTGTTTTTAGGATACTTTGAGCCTCGTTTATATTGGATACCTATATCATAGATAATTTGCAGCAGAAGGAAGTATTTTCTCAGTCATATGTAAACCAGAAGCTCATTAAAATCTCGATTTGTCTTCTTTAAGTATCATGAAGAAATACATTATAAAAATGAAATACATTATAAAAAAGAAATACATTTTAAAATTGCTTCATGTGCTGGAAGGGCAATACTGTTCTTGTGTCATATGCCTTCAGAGCACCTCAAAACTATTCAAATCATGTCCTAATGGCAGTAAATAATTATAGAATGGATGTTTTGGGAAAATGGATTACCTCCAAAGTTGTACTATAGCTAAAATCAGTCCTTGACTTGGACATGATGTTTAAGTTGACTTATTTGACTTTTGTTAATGAGCAGAACATGTGAAATGGCAACTAAAGTTGCCATATGAGCTGCTTTTCTTTTATTTTTGTTATCCTTTTCTGTGGCGACTCTCTCTGAAGATCCAGGCACTTGGTCCATTTGGGATCAGGGGCTCATAAGAAGAAGGGATTCCTAAATTAAAGGGCTGCAGCCTCGAAAGAGGTTGGTAAATTTATGATCAGGATCTCAGAACAGTTCCCTTCCTCTTGAGGTCATGAACTTGTAAGAGTGGACTCAGCTGGAACTGGGACACTGATGGGGTAAAATTTGGGAACAACTCTCCAAGGGACATTCCAGCTCCCCTTACTGTGTAGGGAGCTGAGGAACTTTGAAACTACTGGCAGAAAATAAGAGACAATTGAGAGATGGGATTGAACCATGTCTGTATCTGCAAATCCCAGAACACCTCCCCCCAAAAAAAACAAAACCTCTTGAACCTTGCAATGTAGAGCAAAATGTGGAGCAAGGACACGAGGATTCATCTTCATCTTTATCTAAAATGATTCGGTTTTGTGGAATTCAGGAAGGCCCTGTGGCCATTCTGAAGGCTCTGCACAGACCTTCAAGGTCTATAAAAAAAAACACCTTGGGGGAACAAGTAAAGAGTGGAAATGAGCAGGAGAGAATGTTCTGGAAGGAAATAAATCTTGCTGTAGCTGATCCAGTTCTGGACATCACCTCGTCCTCAAAGGGAAAGGTTGATGGTGGAAAGAAATCTGTTCTCCCCAGGAGAAGGCAAAACCAGCCTGGATTCATAAACTCAGTTCAGGCCATTGCTTTTACCTCTAAGTTAATTCTATTTTTTTTAATCCCATTCCTTGGAGGGAGGGACTGAATCTCGACACAGAAAGAAGAAAAATGAGCTTTTCCCGTGATTTCCACAGAACCAGCTGTAGAGCATTATCTTCCTTGTGCTTGCAAAGCACACACTGTCCTCACCTGCAGGTTTTGCCACGTGAGAAACACCACAGAAAAAACCTGCAGGAAAAACTGCACGTTAAATATATAAATTAAAGGCATTTAAGTCTGGGTTTAGATGTTGGGGTAGAAGAGAGCTTTAAAGCTGATCTAGTCCAAACCCCTGCATTGAGCAGGGACATTTTCAACCAGATCAGGTTACTCAGAGCCCTGTCCAACCTGACCTTGAATGTTTTACAAGGATGAGGCCTCTACACCATCCCTGAAGTCCCATCTGCTTTGAATATGTCAAAAAATCCAAAGTAAGGCCAGCAGAAATATGCTGAGAAATCATAACTGTGCATCACAAGTTGGTTTGGTATTCCTGTGTCAGTTGGAGTTAGTAGGATTAGGCTGTGTCTGCTACAATGATTCAGTGAAGAGTAAAAATAAATGCACTTCGGCACAGATGACTCGTGCAGGAAATGTTCTGCCTTTCTTTTCCTGGTTGTCTCCACATGTTAAGGGTTTTAATGCATTATTCTGCATGTGGAAATGCAAATCTCTGGCCTCAAAAGAGTCTTTGACAAACAAAACAGAGATATGTTACATTTATTTAAAAAAAAAGAGAAAGTTGCTGAGCCTACTGTAATAAAGGGCATTTAGCCACTGAGGTGGATAAATCCAGGATTTCAGCCAAGGATACTCAGGAAAAGGTTAAAGTGTTTAAAATGTCGGGGTGCAATTTCTCTGTGGGCCCAGAGTAGAAGCGTAGATGGTCACCACAAGCACATGAAGAACATTCTCAGCTGGACCTGCTCTTGCACCCAAGGAGTTGCTGGGGCTGGGGTTCACCTGGGCAAGAGGCACTGAGGTTTTCCCTGGGTCAGGAAGGAGGTGGAGATGGGCATGTGGGTGTGTGAGGTGTGTGTGTGTGTGTGTCCCCCTCCCAACATGACCTGCTTCACCAAAGGCTGGAGTGCTCCCAGAACTAACCCCACTGCAGCGCCCTGAGCCGCCACGGCATGTGCTGATGGAGTGTGGCTCCCCAAAAAAAGTCTCACCTTCCCGCCAACTCCGTTCCAACCCTTTCTGCCATCAGAGAGGAAACCATAACCACTGTGGTGAAGAGCCCAAGACAGAGGGGAAGGGTTTCTCCTGCACGTTCTCCCTCGGGTCATTCTCCTTCCCGCTCCCCGAGGGCGGAGCCGACTCCGGAGCCGGTTTATGTCTCCAAGATCAGGCAGCCTGTCCACAGGCACGACCAGGAGGCAGCACCCAAGTCTGCTGTGCCCAGGCTTTATGTGACAGAACCGGAGGACAGGCAAGGAGCAGCGGCGAGAGAGGTCGTGGAGAGCAAGGCGGAGGAGAAAAAGCCCAAGTGGGTCGAAGTGGAAGAAATAATTGAATTCAAGGTGAAAAAATCGCCCAAACCCGCAAGGAAAAGAGGCTCTTCCCCAGTGAAACAAGAAAAGGATGAGTCAGGGGTGTTGACATTCACTTTTCCCAGCTCGAGGCCGAGGCGCTCCCCAGAAGATGATCCAAACACAAACAACTCCAATAATAAGCTGGTGGAACAGTCAAAACCCCTGCCCAGTGAGGGGCTCTCCGAAGGTGACATCCAGCCCCTGGTCTACACAACCGAGCAGGAAGGGCCTCAGGTCAGCAGCGAAGACAGAAACTCCCCGTGTGGGTCCCAGCAACTGGGAAACGATTCATTCATGGATTGTGGCTCCGAAGGGAAGAGCTTCCCGCAGGAAACGAGGCCTGACTGTGGGCCAGACGCCGCCTGCCCACTGCTCGCCTGCGGGGGGGAACCTTTGGTCTTCAGTTTTGAGGCAGCTGCCGGAGACCAGCACGAAGTTGTGTTCTCCCTGGACAGTCCCGAGGTTAAGGAGGAGGTGGATGAGCTGGATGTGTCTTGGCCTGCGGATGAGGCGGTACCCGAAGCGGTACCGGAGGATGACGAGGAGGACAGCGTCGTCATCGTCGACGAGCCCGAGGAGCCACGGGAGGACGACATCAGCGCCCGGGACCGCAAGATCCTCACCCGCAACGGCAAAATCCTGACCCTGGAGGACCTGGAGGATTACGTGCCCCGGGAGGGCGAGACCTACGGGTGCGACGAGCAGAGGCGGGCGGCGGAGCGGCCCTGCGAGATCTCGGTGCTGCAGGCGGAGATCGGCCAGCCGACCGTGGGGAAGCCGGTGCTGCTGAACGTGGGGAGGCCCGTGGTGGCCGAGCCCGGCCGGAGGTTCTTCACCCGGTACCAGGAGCATGTCCCTGGGGGCGTCTTCGTGTCGGCGTCGCGGGTGTCGCCCTCCAACGTGTCCTTCCGTGTGAGCGATTCCCGCTCGGCGGCAGCGGCGGCGGGGGCTGCCCCGGGCCCTTCCTTCACCATGAAACCCTCCTTCTGCACCGAAGTGCAGCGCTCGGCCGACAGCGGCCAGCCCAGCTTTAAGACCGAAGTTTCCACCAGGACCCTCAGCTACGGGACCGTGGGCGAGCCCGTCACCTTGCACATCAGCACAGAAGACCTGTCCCAGAGCTGAGCCGGATGCAAGCGTGGTTTTTAACAACACTGAAAAAAAAAAGCAGCTTTTTGTATAAAAACAGTAATTATTATTATTATTATTATTAAAAACACCACATTTGATTGAAGTCGTCGTAGGCGAGGGGGGTTGGTGGCAAAGATCACAAGGGAGTGCCTTTGAGGAAAATATGTTTAAGTGCCGTATGTCGAGCTTTTCCAGTCTTAAAGGGAACACTCTGTCAGAACAGTTTGTAGCTTTAAAGGCTTTGACCGAGGTGAACATATATCATTCCATAGTGGAGCAGTGATGGTAGGTTTAGGAAAAGCCTGATTCTTCTACCTATGACAGAAATACAAGCAGGAAAAGTGCATTTTTGTCCGTGAACTTCAAAATTTGTTTCATTTGCCAATTTATGGTGTGGCAAGAAGGTGAA